AATTTGGAACAATAATTGTCATAGATTCCTGACATATGGGCAGTCATTCTGAAGAGTAAAAGTCATAGATTCCTGAAAGTATATGTATTCATTCCGAACAATAAATGTCATAGATTCCTAACAGTATTTCAGACCCTCATTCCAGAGCCACATCCCGAACTGGCTATTCTGGACCCTTGTTCCGGACATTGCTTTTGTACGTAATTGTCATAGATTTCTGACAGTATTTTGGACCCTCATTCCGGAGGAAGTTTCCATAATGGCTACTTTAGACACTTGTTCTGGACATTGCTTTTGGACCTTAAAATACACCTAACATGCATCCTCAACATTTGAAAATATTTTGAATGAATTCATCTTACAATGGTGTTTGGCATTCTGAAGTAGAAGATTGTTATGTTCGTTCAGATAATAACCCTTTTCCGGAAGGTCAAAATTTCCCACTCCCGGATAAAATGTCTTATGACATTTTCGTAGCTATGAAGGATACAAAAGAAGCAAACGAAAAGGACTCTGAAAAAGTTGCACACTAAATCAACATGCATATGATCTAACGGAACAAGTAAATTAAAAAGAAAAATGGGTTACTGAAGCTATGTAAGAAGCGAAACAAACTAAGAAGTGGATTGAAAATCCAAATGTGGAGATCAATAAGCTTCGTGCAGAATGGGACCGTCTAACAGATGTTGTTGGATTTAGAGGAGATTTTATTGACAGGGAACAAAAGGTGTATCCATTATAATTTCCTAAATTATGGAAACCAAATCTAAGTATGTATTAGGATTTATAACGCTCTTTGCAATAATGTTAATGAAAAAAGGATAATTGTCATTTTAGATAATCATATTGTTCCTTTAACAAAATTCAGTTTCATAAAACATTACAATATCCATACTTAAAATTAGATTACATTTTTGGCCGATAACTGGGAACTTGCATCCGATGCAAACTAGTTGTGTCTACATGATTTTCAAACAATTCAATGTAGGTCTCAATTAGTTTGAAGCCATTACCAGTCATTTCGACTTGATCTTTTATTATTGGAGTTGTCATACGTGTTTCTTCGATGATGTCCATTGTGTTCATAAATTGTCGTATATTTCATAGATGGTAATGAGGAGCATTTTCATGTTATACAATGCTACTTTTCTCCAGTCCTCAGCCGGTAATGAGATTTTCAGTATGACCATTTCTTGTTTAGCACATTGATAATCACGAATCATTTCTAATGTAGTCGTATCAACAAGACATTGTTGCTCGTCTTTAAGGTGTGGTATAACATACTTTATAGGTAACTCATCATCATCGTTCGAGTCACTGGATGTTGGAGACTAAAAGTAGAATATACTTAAATTATATTAACATGCTATTTAAAAACCAATGTGCATAAAAGTATTTAATAATAATAATAATAATAATAATAATAATAATAATAAACACTTAGTGAAACATATCCACACCAAAAAAAACATAATTACAGGTAGTCAATCTTAAAAGGTTTGTTTACACTTCCTCTGGTGCCATCTTGCGGAGTCCTATCTGTTTTTAATTTATGTCTTGACACCATTTTTAATTTTTTCTTAATTTTATGGGTGGGTTTGCTGATTTATTTTTTATCTTATTTTGAAACTCATCACCTTCTCTTTTTTATCTGCGAAAACAAAATTTCAAAAACATTTTAATACCTTACCGTTAAAATAAATTATAATTATAAAATTATTGTTTTTTTATTTTATCTTTATCGAGCACAATTCTGAAAACTCCTGTAAAGGGAATACAACTCCGTCGTCTGTAAAACCCACTTTTTTTAAGAACATCCACTCTAACTCACCATTGGACTAACATAAGTTATTATACAATACTTAAAAAAAATGTAAGTATAGTTATTTCAGATCATCATTCTGGAATAGATCATCGGGTTCCGGACTACGTTCATCATGTTTCGGACCTACACTACTATTCTGTAACCCCTACAATACCTAATTTTGGACTAAAACAACAGATCTGAAACACGTTATAAAATACTTACATGAGGTTTATACACGTACAACGAGGAAAAAGGATAACCTTGATATTTTGGAGTTGTTCCTCGTATTTCGAACAATTTAGAAATGCGCACATCGTTTTACAAAATCAAATGCAAAGTAACTTAAAGTGTAGAACTTACTTGGTTTAACGAATCCATATTGAAAATTTGGTCCGAAATGTGGATAGATTAGGGATGTCAAAAAGTCTCGTGGGACCCCGTTCCCGTGGGAGCCCCGTCCCGTTTGGGGGATTTTTTTTTAAAATCGGAGCGGGGACAAGGTTAACCCTCGTTTTAATATCGGGTGCGAGAGCGGAGGTAGACAATCGCGTCCTGAAATCCCCATGGAGACCCATTAATAAATTACACACACACACACACACATATATATATATATATATATATATATATATATATATATATATACATATATTAATTATATAAATATAATAAACAATAACATGATTTTGAGCTTCAAAAATTAATCAAAAAACATGTTTTTAAGTTGTTAGTATATTGATTTTAAGATGTCATAGCTTTTTTTATTTTTAACATCTAAAGTTCAGCTATAAATAATTATGTTTTTACCAAAAAAAATAGCTTCTTTTAGTTTAAATAATAACTTCTTTTAGCCCAAAAAAAGGAAGCCCAAATCAATCGGGGCGGGGTAGGGATAGGGGAACGGGGAAATTTCGGGGGCGGGGTGGGGGCGGGGAATTCACTCCTCGTGCCGTTTTCCCGTGTTGACATCCTTAGGGTAGATTGTGCTTCGGATCTGCAAATTCGGGAATACGTATTCCTGGTTTTATATGTGGGACCAATATATATATATATATATATATATATATATATATATATATATATATATATATATATATATATATATATATATATATATATAAGTTTATTTAAAAGAAAAAGCTAAATATAAAATTCTAACCATTTGAAAAGTTTAAATTTATAAGAAAAATGCGAAAATATTAAATTATAAAAATTAAAGTATTTTTTTTTCTTTAAATTTAAACAAATAATTTTGATAAATAAATAAATAAATGAAATTAATGAAGTTTTAATTTAATAACTTTGAAATTAAAATGAAAGTTTGTTAACCAAATTAATATGAATGTATTATTGCATTTAAATATTATGTGGAATTAATAAAATAGAAAAATTATAAATGAATGTATTATTGCATTTAAAGTTTTTTCTCCACATTTGTCCCTCCAACTTGTGTAACTGTACACATTCAGTCCTTATGATCTGCTACTCCAACTGAGCTGGAAAAAAATAACTTAATAGTATAATATATTTCTCACTTTGTACATGTTTAGTGCTTAATATTTTTTTTTTCACATTTAGTACTTAATATTTTTTTGGTTACAAAATAAGTCATTTATGTTTTTGTACATATGTTTTTATCATAACATCTATTAACGTATCCCTCAGGGAGAACGTCAAAATAGGAGAAGTCAAACTAACATCGGGCATGGCCTGGTCAGAACCCAGTTCGAAGCCAAGATCGGACCTTCGCCAATGCGAAGATCACTAGTGTGGCGGTTAAGGTGTAGAACCGCGCCTTAATCTCTTCTCTAAGGAATTACATCCCAGCAAACGTGGGACCAATCAGAAAGTTTCACTTGCCCATTAGACGATAGCTACGATCTTCGTAATGATTAAAAGACTCCCTCTAGCCAATGAGAGAATGAGTGAAAAAGACGTGATGGAGGATCCTCCAATATGGGTCTGCCATGTCTCACCCCACAAGGGAATGCTTAATAGAATCAGTTAAGGGGCACACCTCTCAAACAAGTATAAAAGGATCCTTCTACCTCATGAAGAAGGGTACAGAACTCTTTTCCCTGTGATTTACTATTATCTCTCCGTGACCTCATACTAACTTCATCATCAGAGCTTCGTCCCGGGAATTCCTCCCGGACGTCGACTAACAGTCATATTTCTCTTTTGCATTGTGATATCAGGAGAATATATATACATGGATCTCATCTACAGTCCTAACCTCTCCAACATATCACAACATTCGGCGCCATCCAGGCGTCTCTCTAGAACGATACATCCGCGAAGGAAACCCAGAAAGCAACGATGGCAGGTGACATACCAGTGACATCAAGGATAGTGGAGAGAAGCCCACTACGTCCAATGCAGTCACTGGATAGCGAGCAAACTTCCTTTTAGGAACAACACGCCTCAAACCGCACACCAATCTCACATACACCATCTAGTTCTACAGCTGAAATGATGGCAACTTACATAGCCAGTCTATGGCGCCCAAAAGCCAGCACAACTCCACAAGTAGCAATCGTAACCACAACTCCACAGATTATTGCAATGCAACAAACAGATATCCTTGTTTCGCAACAACAATCCTTCTCGCACACTTCAGGCATCGGAACCTGAATCCATCACACTATCCAACTGCAACCACAATATCCCTCGATGGTCCTCCCATATGCCACCATGGCAGGGTTGCCTCATGTGCCGCTATTTCTACAACAACCACCGATCTTCAACCAGCTTGTACAACATACTCCAGGTTCAATCCCTGCATTGACTCAGCCGCAAGTAATAAGCGTCTAGACCTCGACCAGTCAGGGATCCGACGCTTATGGATCCGGTGTTCAATTCTCAGAATCAGTAGAGGGGCACACCTCTCAAACAGGTATAAAAGGATCCTTCTAGCTCATAAAGAAGGGGACAGAACTCTTTTCCCTGTAATTTACTATTATCTCTCTAAGACCTCATACTAACTTGATCGTCGGAGCCTCATCCCGGGAATTCCTCCCGGACGTCGACTAACAATCATATTTCTCTTTTGCATTGTGATATAAGGAGAAGATATATACACGGATCTCTTCTACAGTCCCAACTCAACCCTCTCCAACATATCACAACATTTAGCGCCATCTGGGCGTCTTTCTAGAACGATGTATCCGTGAAGCAAACCTAGAAAGCAACGATGGCAGGTGACATACCAGTGACATCAGGGACATTGGAGAGAAGTTTGCTGCGTCCAATGCAGTCACTGGATGGCGAGCAAAATTCCGTTCAGGAAGAACACGCCTCAAACCGCACACCAGTCTCACAGACATCATCTAGTTTTGCAATTGAAACGGCAGCAACTTACATAGCCAGTCTATGGCGCCCAACAACCAGCACACCTCCAAAAGTAGCAATCGTAACCACAACTCCACAGATTATCGCAACGCAACAAATAGAGATCCCTGTTTCGCAACAACAATCCTTCTCACACATTTCAAGCATCGGAACCCGGATCCATCACGCTATTCAGCCGCAGCCACAATATCCCTCGATGGTCCACCCACACACCACCATGGCAGGGCTGCCTCATGTGCTGCTATTTCTACAACAACTGCCGATCTTTAACCAGCTTGTATAATAGACTCCATGTTCAATCCCTGCACTGTCTCAGCCACAAGTAACAAGCGTGTAGACCTCGATCAGTCAGGGATCTGACGCTTATGGATCCGTTGTTTAGTTCTCAGTAGCATCTAAATTCATCCCCCTCATAGCAGTCTCTCAACCGTTGAGCCTGTACACACAACAGTACACAGGAGCAACCCCATACATGACTCCCCCGGCACGGCAATATGCAATCCAGCTCTTTGGATTACTACCAAACCTACAACTGTATCAACCGTACATTTCACAGGCGGCAATTCATAACCAGATGTGCGCGAGCCCCTACCAATTGTAGCAACACATGGCTTATGGTGGTATGTCGTACTCGTACATGGACAACCCCATGTGAAGCGCAAGCTGCAATTTCAAAAACGAATTGTTGTAGTATGAGATCCTGCACAATGCGATGATACCAAACATGCCAAAGTACGACGAAACTACATACCCAGATGACCACATCGACAACTACGAATGGATGATAACATCTCCTAAGATGGATCGCTACTTCAATTGCACGTATTTCCCCTGCACCTTAACAGGAAATGCAGGCAAGTGGTTCAAGTCTCTAAGGCTCGATAGTATCTCGAGTTTCATCATCTGAAATATCTTTTCCACAACAACTTCATGCAATTGAGGAAGGGAAAAGGGGATGCCAACTCTGTGATGGCGTGCAAGCAAAAAGAAGGAGAATCGATTCGTGACTGTAATGATTGATTCACACTAGCTACCTTGAATGTCCCATTAAAGACCCAAACTTTCATATTTCTGAAAGTCCCAAACTTTCATACTTGACAATTGTTACTCCAAAACATGCTACATCCATATTCATAAAAACAATATTTTTCATTGATAAAGTGATTACAAACTACTGGATACAAACCGACTATTACAAAGTGTTATATATTACATAACTTCCCAGGATACTATAATTTATACATACATGAGTACAAAATATAATAGTATCATAACTATTCTAAACCTTCAAACAGTATACAACTATACTGGTTAAACATTGAGAGGGGTAAGTGGTGACACTTAGTGAGTTCAATAATAGATACAATATAACGTTATGCCATATATATACTTCAATATGGCAGAATCAAAGAGGAACAAGGAACAACAAAGGCATATGTGAATCATCTGACAAACTTTCCATATCAATCAATGATTTGATTTAAAGATATACAATCAATGACACATAATGATTTCTATACTTGATATACATCAATAAAGCTTTAGCCCAAATGGAACAGAAGACATACAACTTTTGATTAACATTTTGGTAGATTTCAGGCTTATAGTCATGTCTAACCTTCTACAAATGCCATAGAATAGAAGTCATTCTCTTACGGAGACACACTCTACGTAGCCAAAGGCTACATACCAGTACCAATGTGAATCTAAGTCCTTTCACTGATAATATGGTCAAAGGTATTACTTTGCTATTAAAATAACGAATAAAAATAACACAGGAAAATTACACAGAATAATAACACTGAAAAGCTCATATCACATACAACACATAACATACAATTGTTCCTATATATTGAACTCACTGTGAATTAACCGGGGGTTAAAATAGTAGTTTGTACAGCACTTCGTTATAATAAATAACTTTATTCATTGAAAACTAGGAGATTTATTGAAAACTGGGCCCTACGAGGGTTTAGCTTTAAACCAAAAAGATAAATTTATCGGGCTCCTCGGGCACTTCGGGGCGTGTTTTGGGTGCTGGAAATGATCTCGGGGCTTCGGGGGAAGTGGAAATAGCTAAAATATGAAATTAGGGGTGAAAAATTAGCAATATTCTAAATCTATCCGGGAGGTCTTACACCCTTTATATAGGTACGAACCTCAGATCCGAAGCGAGAGGAAACGGAACACGTGTCGCAACAGTGAGGCTCGGAGGCGAGGGAAGGCAGGTGGCGACTTCTGATGGGACCGAGGCTTCAGGTGCGAGGGGGCACGCGTCTGACGCCAATTGACCTGCGCTTCGGACAGCTCACCGAATCAGACACACTTCTGCTGACTCACCGAGATCGTACACGGGGCGGGTGACGTGTGCGAGATCCGACCTTATCCATACGAGATTCCTTAGAAATTGAGCCCCAAACATCTAAAATCCATAACTTTCCCATACGGGCTCCGTTTTTTACGTTCTATATATGCACGCGTAGGTAAAATTATTCTCTACAACTTTTGTTTAGACTTCGTCAGCTAATTTTGACTTATTTTTAATATTATTATTTTTAGCAGACCGGGATAGGAAAATACGTTAAAAATTCATAAGTTCTTCATCCGACATCTGTTTTCGTCTGTCTTTTTACCGTTGTACTACTATTGAGGAGACCTTCGATTCTCGTATAGGTTGTGTCGACAAAATATCACTCGATCTTCATTTCGAGTTTTTAGCTGTCTACTACTATTCTGAAATGTAGAAAAATCATAACTTCCTCATACGATGTCACAACTAGCCTTTTTGGCTAGGAAATTTCATCCTCAAGTAAGCAAGGACTATTGTGACACTTGTGCTAACACACCTAAGTGTTCAATACGAGTTCTTAAGGAGCCATATAGTGTAGAATGAAAATCTCTCCAAGTAAAGTGAATCTCTCCAAGTATATGGAATCTCTCCCAAATCTCTCCAAGTGTGGTGAATCTCTCCCGAATCTCTCTAAGTATGCGAAATCTCATCAAGTATAGTGAATCTTTCCCAAATCTCTCTAAGTATGCGAAATCTCTCCAAGTATAATGAATCTCTCCCAAATCTTTCCAAGCATGTGAAATCTCTCCCAAATCTCTCTAAGTATGTGACATCTCTCCCAAATCTCTCCACGTATCTCAAATCTCTTTCAAATCTCCCTAAGTACCTTCCTCAGTCGAAAACAGCTCAAAACCGGAAGAGGAAACCCCAAAAGGAACCTCTTGGTCTGGAACCCTCTTGGTTCGGAACCCTCTTGCTCCTGAACCTTCCTTGCTTCGGAACCTCCTTCACTCCGGAATAAGCTTCCCATCCGGACATATCAGATCTGCTTTGGAATTTCCTAGCCGGCTTCGCACCTCGGTCCGGACTGCTGGCTTCGCCCTAACTCGCACGCGACTTCAGATCCGAGAAGGTTACTCCGAATCTCGCCTGTGGACTCTGGAATTAGGAGAGGAGCTCCGAAACTCGCCCAACACCTCCGGAAATTGTAATGTAGCTTCGGAATCCACATGATACCTCCGGAATTCACCTCTTAGCTCCGGATTTTGGACTATTTCAAATCTTTTTATCATTTTAAGGTATTTTAACGTTAGGAATCCCACCAAACTCGTGTTTTTCTTAACTAAGACCCCTAAAACCCCTATTTTATGCTAAAATTAATTATTTTAAGCATATTCTTCATAAAAAATAAATGGTTGGGATTTATGAAAACCTTATCCTAAATGAAGATAAGGACAAAGAGGTTGACTTTGTGATTTGATGGAATCCTCATTTCCCATGCAAATCATAGTATCCCATGCTTTACCCACCAAATATCCATGCATAGACCAACAGATTCCCATGCACCAAAGTTTCCCTCCCTTTTCTTACTCTTAAGCTCGTCAGTAGAAGGAAATATGGACTTTTCACATTTTGCTCTCACTTTACTCTCTTTTTGTCCCAAAGATTCATTTCCAGAGTAAGAACAAGATCTTGCTGGAAACAAAATTCTCAATTTCTTCCTTGGAAATTTAAAGTAAGTTCTCCAATTCTTCTAGTATTTTATAATATTTCAAGATGAATCCATATTATTTTATTCGTAATAATATGTGATGATCATCCTTAGGAAAGCATCCCTCCCAGGGAAGTTCCTCATCTCAGCCAAGAGTTTAACCTTGAGATCTTCACTCCATAACTCAAGACAACTCCTCAACTAACTCAAGATGAGCTTCATACCCTATTTTTTCAATGTTTTCATGTTTTTGGGGGAGAGTACAAATCAAATCTTGCCTAAATTCTTAATTGATTAAATATTTATACATATGTTTGTATGTGTGTGTGAAATATTATTAAATTAATATTTTAGTAACATACTCATGAATGTAAGATTACACAATTTAATAAAGAATAGAGGACACTTTGTACAAAAGCGCCTCTCAAACATTGGGTGCGTCCAACTTAACCCCTTTATGTATGTTTTCATGTCTAAAGATAGAAGTTATAAAAATGGACCTTGATAAATGGACACCATTTCTAGCACATTTCAAAAAAATGGAAATTTTGGGGCTATCAGGGTGTATTTTATAAATATTCAATATAAAAGTTTACGTCAAGAAAATATACAAAAAGAGCCTTTATGACAGAAATATTTGCATGTCATAAGCTGATGTCGTAGAACCTCCAAGAACATAAGTAATGTTCTATATGTCATAAACAGAAAATGCGTGTGATAACCGGTTGTTATAAATTTATACAAATTATAACTTGACACTTTTTCTCTTGACTAAAATGAATCATTTTTCAATAAACGAAAAGGAACAAACACGAGCACCCAGTTAACGAGCACAATCAACAATATATAACGATAACAATATTTCTATTCAATGAGTACAAATTCCGTTATTTATCTAACAAATAATGGAACTCTAACGATTGTTCAAAAGGTTGTTAATATTCTAGTCACACAAATCTCAAAAGTACCTAAATATGAAAATATTAATGTATGTCTATGTCCTGTAAGAAGTTATAGTCAGAGTCTCCTGGAGGGAGAGCGGTAATTTGTGTATAGATCTATATGGGGTTGACACCCCACACCTTCGTTGTTCGCTACAGCTAGGCAGGCCAGTCTAGGGTGACAAATGTCTTTTCCAAACCGAGGGCGCTTGAGAAACGCCAACACAGGCCTCCGTCATGATTAGTATGGTTATAACGACTCACTAGAATATGTTTTATTAACTAGAAATTGATGCAAGGAAAACCTCATAAATAAATTTTGGCACATTGTGTTGACTGTC